TACATATTTAAGCAGAAGTCTAAAGGACGGATGAGAATCAGGCAGGAAAAGAACATTTCAGGCAGAGAAATGTGCGAAGGCCCTGAGGTCAGAAAAATTTGAAGAAAGACAGAGGTTATGAGTTGAGGGAATTAGGAAGAGATGAGGTTCCAGAGGCAGCCAACGGCCAGATCACCTAGGGTTCAAACCCTCAGCAACGGAGTGGGTTTTATTATTTAAAAACAACACACAACAACAGACCACTAGAGGACAGTTATAAAAATTAAAATAGAATTACAGTCTCTATCCCACCTCTGGGTATATATCCAAAAGAATAGAAAGCAGGGCCTTGAAGATATATTTGTACACCTATGCTCATAACATTATTCACGGTTGCTAAAAGGCAGTAGCAACCCAGGTGTCCACTAATGGATGGGTATATAAACAACACATGGTATATATGTATTCCACGGTGGAATATTATTCAACCTGAAAAAGGGATGACATTCTGACACATGCCACATACCACATGAACTTTGAAGACATCCAAAGTGACATAAGCCAGTCACAAAATTACAAATACTGTGTGACTCCACTTACATGAGGTATCAAGAGTAGTCAAACTCGCCCTGGCTGGGTAGCTTAGTTGGTTAGGTTGTGGATTCCACCCCCGGTCACTTACAAGAATCAACCAATGAATGCATAAATAAGTGGAACAACAAATTGGTGTCTCTCTCTCTCTCTCTCTCTCCCTCCCCCCCCTTTCTCTCTCCCCCCTCTCTCTCCCCCTTCTCTCCCTCCCTACCTCTCCCCCTCCCTCAAATCAAAAGAAAGAGAGTAGCCAAACTCACAGAAGTAGAAAGTAGAATGGCGGTTGCCAGGGGCTGGGGGAGCTGAGAATGGGGAGTTAGTGTTTCATGGGGACCAAGTTTCAGTTTGGGAAGGTGAAAACGTTCTGGAGATGGGATGTAGTGATGGTTGCACAACAATGGAAGGGCCACAGAACCGTACACTTAAAAGTGGTAAATTTTATGTTATATGTATTTTATCGCAAAGAAAAAAAATGTTTAAGTCTTTCAATTAAAAAACATTTTAAGTGCACAGTGGTATGTAGATATGGAAAAACAAGGTAATAAGTGCCTGAAGTTTAGGAAACAGTCATCTGGTCAAGCTCCTTCCTGTCACTGTTGGGACATCTGTCCATCTCAGAGGAGGACAGAATTTAGCTCAAGTTGCACAGTGAACCGGTGTGACTAGGGGCCAGGTGGCTCTTCTTGTCACTGTGCATCTCCGTGGGGTTGGAAGTGGGTGTGCATGAACACAGAGCCAACAGCTTTGGTGGGCTCTATTGATGGCAGTCCAGCACCCATTCTCCGCACGGCCACCACGCCTGAACTCCCTGGGACAGGAGAAGACATGAAGCTCAGGGTAGAGGTGCCATTTGAACAGAGCCTTGAAAAGAGCAATTTGAGAAGGGGCATCATTCCAGGTGGGTGATACAAGAGCAAAGGGTGGGTACCAGGATGCTGAGTACGTTGGCTGATGGCCTTTGCGATGTCTCGATGTCTCCGTGTTTAGATGCAGCCAAGGCTTGGCCGGAAGGGGCAGGTGCTTGCAGGGCCCTGCCAGTCTCCTCTGGGCCAGTTATTTATTGGCTCAGAATGAGGCAAAGGTCAGACTTGGGGTTTGGTTATTTCCTCTGCCTGGACCCTTCTGTCTCTTGGAATAGGGGCAAAGGTTGTTCCGAATGGGAGCTCCAAAGAAAGGGCATTAGGATGAACTATTTGTTCAGTGATCTGTGGCTCAAATTCCTGAGAAATGTGGCCAAGCCAGGGTTTGGGTGAATCCACCTCATTCTGCCCAGGTGCCAGCTGCACCAGGAGGTCTGCACCGGGACTTCCTGCCCCTGGCTCACCCCTACCCTGTTGTTTGCATTCATTCATTATTCAACCTGCATTCCTTTAGCTCCTTCTCCACATTTTGTGTCCTAGACCCTAGGGATTTAGGGGCAAAGAAGACTTTTACAGCCCTGACTGGGTAGCTCAATTGGTTAGAGAATCTTCCAGATGCACCAAGGTTGTGGGTTCAACCCCTGGTCAAGAGACAACAAATTAGTGTCTCTCTCTCTTTCTCTCTCTCTCTCTCTCTCTCTCTCATCAATCAATCAATTTAAAAAAAAACTGGTTCAAAGGAGAATATATGTATACAGGGTGGAGCAAAAGTAGGTTTACAGTTGTAAGTACACGAAACACACAGTTTATTCTTGTATTATTATTTCTCGTATTATTTTTCACACGAACAACTGTAAGCCTACTTTTGCCCCACCCTACATATCTCACAATCAAGAATGCTGAAGGGAATTTGCTAATAGATGCAAAACTGGCTTCTACCACAGGGTGGAATCAGTCACATCTTACCAATGTTGATTTGCATTTTTATGACCTGAATTTTAAATGGTTTTAAATAATATATTTTACTTAACTCAAATATATTCAAAATGTTGTCATTTAAACATGTGATCAATATAAAAAGTTAATGAGCTCTTTCACTTTTTTTGTACTACGGTCTTCAAAATCCCACGTGTATCTTCCTGCTCGGTAGACACACAGTGAGTGGCTACTACATTAGCACAGCTACAGACAATACCTAATATTCCATTGAAAGAACATCCAGGAAACTTTTTGCCTTTTCCAAAGTCTTTTCCAATTTTTTTTCTGACAGTTTTTTAATTAAAAAAAAAATTTACACGAAGTGACTGTGCAGCCTTGTCGAATGCCTCCAGGGATGGGGAATGTCACCATTTAACAGGCACCCCGTCTCCTTTCCAGCAAGCTCATTCTTTAAGGAAACCTTCCCTTTTACTTACCCAACAATATCTCGATCCACTCCATCAAAAATATTAGTCGTTAAAAAACAATATAAAAACTTCAGGTTCAGAGGACTCGGCAAGTGGCTAGAACTTAATGATATAGTTTCGTTTTCGTTATATCTATGTCTATGGCTATTTTTTTACTGATGGCAAGGGAAACTTTCCGTTTTTGCTCAGGCTACAATGTTTCCACTTAAAAACGTATAAGTAGTAAAAAGACGGAACTAGTTTGAGAATAACGGCAGGGACTGTGTAGCTGAACTTTAAGCTGAACTACCACAACGAACTGATTCTCAAACCGCGTCACACTGCGCTAGAAACTACATCCTGATTACAGCCGTCCCTCCAAGCAAGTCAGGATGGCCGAGCGGTCTAAGGCGCTGCGTTCAGGTCGCAGTCTCCCCTGGAGGCGTGGGTTCGAATCCCACTCCTGACATTAGCTTCTTTTTATTTTCTCCTCCCAAACTCTTAACGAAAGTGTGTACATGGGACTACGCTAAAAAGGTTTCACAGTACACAGAGCGGGACTTTCTCTTTACAGTCTGGAGTTTAGTAAATATCATTAGGAAGAAAATGCCTGTTAAGAAGAAAACAGCTGTTTTTTAAGAAGATTAAAAGAGTATCCAAACGTGTGAAATATCTAGTTGATTTGGAGTTACCGCTGAAAAGCAAAAAAATAAGTTCTTGTCAGGAGTGGGATTCGAACCCACGCCTCCAGGGGAGACTGCGACCTGAACGCAGCGCCTTAGACCGCTCGGCCATCCTGACTGCACGGCTTCAGCCTCACCAGAAAACCTTTCCGGAAGATCTCTAGTCTACGCATGCGCACGTGTATGAAATGGTTGCGCTCGGGGAGAGGCGGAGCAGGGCGCCGAGGGGGCGACAGAGGGCGCACACAACTCGTTGAAGAAGAATCTGAAAATCCCAGAGGCCCGGGACTACTCCGCCATGCATGCATTTGAGCTTCCGACATGCATTCATTCTGCATGCATGCATGTACTATTCACATCAGTTTTGAATCTTGCATATCTGGAAGCACCCTTGATCTTCTGCACATTTCCTTGTGAGTTTTCTACTGGCTAATAGATCTGATTGCTCCTGGCACCTGTACCCAATTCTCTTTCCAAACGTTCTTCAAAACCGCAGCTTCACATTTATATGTGTTTAACTCGCTCAGGCTCTGGGTTAGCTCGAGTCCCGCAGCCGCACAGCCGCACCCACCCTATTTCTGACCGTGTCCCCGGTGCCCGAACCGTGATTGGCGTAAGGTGGGCTCCCAGACAACGTCTGTGGATGAATCCCTGCTCTCCGCCTCCTGCCTGCATTATTTTATTTCGTGACTCAGGTCTCCCCCACTCCCGCTGCTAACTCTGGGGGATCCGGGCCCCCACCTTCCGCCCCTTCTTTTCCTAACCCCTTTGTACCCATCCCTAAAATATAAATTGCCCTGGATATTGCAAAAGGCGTCAGCATTTCATTTCCTGCGCATTTCCTCTGTGCCAGGCACTCATTTAGTTGCTGTGTACAAAACAATTTCTGCCCTCAAGATACAGCCCAGCGTGGGGTGAAGGCAGAAAGAGAAGAAATAAGTGAATAAATAAATTCAGGTGCTGGTAAGTGCAAGAAAGAGGATGTGTGAGGATATTTGTAAGAGACTGAAAAAAAAAAAAAGCCAAAAAAGAGAGCCGGTGTTTTGGCTGGGGCACCAGGACGGAGATCTGATTCTATAGGGGTCTGCACCTGTCATCACCTCTGCACGCGATGACTCCTGTCCTGGCGTCAGGACCCCATTCCCTGCTCTGGGCATTCGTCCAGTTTAGGCGAGGAAAGTCCCCTGAAGTCAGTTAGGAAAGTCTACCAGCATCAGGGGAAGTCCCAGCCTGGCCCTTCCGCGGCTTGGTTCCAAGCCGTACTCACGAAGTCAGGCCGCGGACTCGGGATTTGGTGCTCAGCCAACCAAGGGGCCTGAAAGGAGGAGTCCTAGAATCCCCCTGATGTTGGCACACGTCTCCACCTCTGCCTGGGTTTTGGCGGATGCCTCCTTCACATCCACCGTTTCACTTCAGATCCTTAATAGCACCAGGACACAGGTTATCATTGGCCTCATTGTATAGATGAGGAAGATGAGGCTCAGAGAGACCAAGTAACTCACCGGAGTTGCACAGCTGAGCGGTGGAGCCTGACTTTTCTGGCTCAGTACCCTTTCTTGAGAACTACTCTGGGTCTCAAATTGTCACAGGTGCTTTCTTTATATTTTCTCCTAAAAAAAAAAAAGCCACGAGGGCTTGCCAGCTCAGGTGGTAGCCTTGACTTTGAGATGTTATTTTTAGTCCTGTTTTTATTATTGGAGACTTAAAAATGAAAAGATTGGCCTCCCCCCCCGCAAGCCGGTCCAAGCAGCATGGCCACGTTCCAGACTCTGGTTTCCTTGGCCATGGGTGGGGACAGAAGCCACCAGGCGCCAGCAGCGAATCCCTGCCAAGGCCCCGGTTTGGGCATCTTATTCCACTGAGGGGGGACCCCAGGGGTGCAGTGGGTAAAGCCGGCGTGGATCTCTGCTGTGATGGCATGGGGACTGTAAGTCCCCCTGGAACCAGAGCCAAAGACAACAAGACCCCCATTTTGCATGGAGAGAGGTGGGCAGCCCAGTTCCCCAATCTTAAATGGGTCACGTGGACAGTGGTGGCCAGAATGGACTGAGCCCAGGAGCTCACATCCAAGTTCTCTGGATTGCTTACCAGGCCCCCTAGACTTTCGGTCACCCCAGAAAGCGAACCCCAGGAGTGGGAGAGACTGTATAGCTTGCCACTCTGAGAAGCAAGGGGCACCAGCCCATTTTAACTTGAGGCAGCATATAAGC